CTTAGTTTGCCTACCCAAGATTTAGTTCATCTGATCACAAAAGCTTCCCATGCCCACGATTTCGCCGCAACAGGTTAAACACACATTTAACTTCTTGGAAATGGTCACAAGACCCTTTTGCGATCTTATTAAACGGCAAGCCCCTTGAGGTCCTGCCTGACTTCATCTTGGTTACGGAAACTCACGGGCTCCTGTGTATGTCTGAGTAAAGGCAGTGGGGGTGGAGGGTGGCTGAAATTCCAGCTGAAATTTATTTATTCATTAGTTCATAAAAGGTATACTGCAGGAAAAAACCCTCAAAGCTGTTTACGAAAGAGATAAAAGAATAAAACCACTGCTAAGGAAAAAACGCAACAGTAGTTTAAAATGTACAAAAAGTTGAAATACTAAACAAGTTAAAATTTATACTGACTTTTAAAAATTACTATGATTCTACAAAACTCACATCAACTCTCTAAGCATCTAGGGAGGCTCGTCTAACCAAGAATTTTTATAGCATCCACTGAAAGCACTTGCTTAATCTCAATAGGCAGGGAGTTCCAAAGTTTAGGAGAGGAACCTAAGGTGTTGGGGTAAAGGGTCAAATGCATTCCCCAAGCCCAGTCCTTTGGGGACTCTCCATATGCCTCCCTAGTCATAGCCTCAAGTATTTATTATTTATCTTATTTATTAAGGGCTGAATTCAACTAAATAGTTGCATTAACAGGAGCCAGCAGTTCCGGTAGTCCAGCGGGGCTCCCTCTGCAACCAGCAGAGGGTAATCTCTGTGTTGACAGACGGATCCCTTTAACATTGAATTCAACTCTGAATTTACATCCCACCCAAGGGAGCCCAAGCACAGGAAACGACAAGAGGGAAAACCATTCAAAATCATCTATAAAGCAACTCGTTTAATAATAATAATAATAAATAATAAATTTTATTTATATCCCGCCCTCCCCAGCCAAAGCCAGGCTCAGGGCGGCTAACAACAAACAAATAATCAAACAATCAAATAATCCAACATTCTAAAACATTTCATTATAAAAATTAATTAAAATCAAATTAATGGCAACCGTTAAGCAAAGTTCTGTGCAGGTTGCCGGAGGTGGGAGTCAGGCTGGGCCCTGACCAAAGGCCTGGTGGAACAACTCTGTCTTGCAGGCCTTGCGGAAAGATGTCAGGTCCCGCAGGGCCCTAGTCTCTTGTGACAGAGCGTTCCACCAGATTGGAGCCGCAGCCGAGAAAGCCCTGGCTCTAGTTGAGGCCAGCCTAACCTCTCTGAGGCCTGGGACCTTCAGGATGTTTTTATTTGCAGACCGTAGGTTCCTCTGTGGGGCATACCAGGAGAGGCGGTCCCGTAGGTACGAGGGTCCTAGGCCGTATAGGGCTTTAAAGGTTAAAACCAGCACCTTAAACCTGATCCTGTACTCCACCGGGAGCCAGTGCAGCTGGTATAGTACCGGATGAATGTGATCTCGCAGCGAAGACCCCATAAGGAGTCTCGCCGCGGCATTCTGCACCCGCTGGAGTTTCTGGGTCAGTCTCAAGGGCAGCCCCACGTAGAGCGAGTTACAATAATCCAGTCTGGAGGTGACCGTCGCATGGATCACAGTGGCTAGGTCAGGGCGAGAGAGATAAGGGGCCAACTGCTTAGCTTGGCGGAGATGAAAAAATGCCGCCGTTTAGAATGAGTTTCAGGGTTTCAAACCATCACAAGAGGTGTTGGAATTTTGGGAGGTTGGATAGTTGCAATGGAATGGTCTCAGGGGTAGGGTGCACATTTTTATTCTTGTTTATTTGTGATTATTACTTTGTCAAAATAAAAATAATTAAAAGGGAAAAGGGGGGAAAAACTGAGCACCTTCAGTTCTGTGCAGAATTCACAAATCAGTATTGATGGAATGTTTTGAAAATAAACTGATTTTAAAATTCGAATAAAATAAAATGATTTTTGCCTGAGCGGGGCATGTCCCTGAACTCTGATCATGCACCTTCCTTGGAGGTTAGAGAGGGATGGATGTCTGTATAAACTAGCCTGCTTTGCACAGGTAAAATCCCACTCACTTTTGCCTAGCCCCACCGCTGGGCTCATTGCTTACCTGAGTGACGCCTTTCGATTGCTTGCTTCGTTGTCAAGGTTTAAAAGTTTCGGCAGGCTCTGTCTGCTTTTTTGCACCTTGGGTGGTTGAGGTTCAGTCCTGGGGGTGGCCAAAGGCATCTTTCCCCACCTCCTGCTGCCTTGAGGCTAACTGGTCTCTCCTAAACCAGCCTTTGCCATCCAGGTGTTTGGGGACTACAATTTGCACCTTCAGCCAAGGTGAATACAACCGCCCCACCTAGGGCTGGCAGTATCATGGAAGGGACACGAAGGACCATTGGAACCCCTGATGGTGCAAGAGGACACAAGTTCGGGGAACATTACTGTAATGTCTTACGTATGAATGCGTAATAAATACATAAATACATACTAAAGATGTGTGTGATGTCACACACTTCATATGCTCAGAGGCACTCTTTCTACCTGCCTGCACACTGTCTTGCCAAAGTGGTGCATGCTTTAGTTATCTCCCGCTTGGACTACTGCAATGCGCTCTACGTGGGGCTACCTTTGAAGGTGATCCAGAAACTGCAACTAATCCAGAATGCGGCAGCTAGACTGGTGACTGGGAGCGGCCGCTGAGACCACATAACACCAGTCATGAGAGATCTGCATTGGCTCCCAGTACGTTTCTGAGCACAATTCAAAGTGTTGGCGTTGACCTTTAAAGTCCTAAACGGCCTCGGCCCAGTATACCTGAAGGAGCGTCTCCACCCCCATCGTCCAGCCCAGACACTGAGGTCCAGCTCTGAGGGCCTTCTGGCGGTTCCTGCGAGAAAAAAAGTGACGTTACAGGGAACCAGGCAGAGGGCCTTCTCGGTAGTGGCGCCCGCCCTGTGGAGCGCCCTCCCATCAGATGTCAAGGAAATAAACAACTATCTGACTTTTAGAAGACATCTGAAGGCAGCCCTGGTTAGGGAAGTTTTTAATGTTTGGTGTTTTATTCTGTTTTTTTTATATTCTGTTGGGAGCCACCTAGAGTGGCTGGGGAAACCCAGCCAGATGGGTGGGGTAATAATAATAATAATAATAATCCCCAAAAGCCAAACCATGGGGGATGGTGACCACCCCCAGCTTCCCCCTTGGACTTCTAGAGGTGGCTGCTTGACTAAGCGGGGCTTTTGGTTTGTAGCGACAAAGCTCTCTTTGTGGCAACCCAGCAAAATCTCATCAAACCCTTTGGAAGTGCATAACAAGCCCTGTTACAGCTGCCATGAAATGCCCATTCTGCCTTTGTAAGAAACCAATCTTTTAGTGTGGCAGCAGCCTCACTTTGGAACTCCCTGCCTATTGACAGTAGGCAAGCGCCTTCGCTGTGCTTTCAGGGTCGGCTAAAAACAATTTTGCTTAGGCAAACACACTGTAGAATGTTGGCATGTGTTTTAATATGTTTTTTAGCTTACCGATGATTTCAATTCTACTTTTAAATCCTTGTTTTTAACTGATAATTTCATAGTTTTTATTCTTTTTTTGTTAACCACTTTGAGGACTTTAAAATTTTTTTTTACTAACAAGTGGCACGTTATTTTTTTGGTGAAATAAAATAAATAAGTAGGTTTCCCTCCCCACACCTGCCCTTTCCCCACAAACACACACAACGCACAAGGCCCCACCAGCTCTGTCAGCGATTGAAACGCACGGATTTCTCGTTTTATTTTACAGCCTGTATATCTTAAAAAGCATTTTACAAATAGAGTCTTCTTACAATAGCGATAAATAGATCTCTCATTTTTGTCTTTTTTTTTTATACATATGTCACTGGAAACACCAACACAACCTCGGAGCTTAAAAATTAAGAGAGAGAGAGAGAAGGAAACCTTAGTTCCTGAACATTAATTCATGGATTTTTGTGCATCTTTAAAAAATAAAAGTAACAAAAACAGAGGACGGCAGGATGGAAGGGAGGGAGACACACACACACACACACACACACACACACACACACACACACGTGACACAGATGGCAAATGGGCCCAGACGTTCACAGGATTTATCTAGTCACAAGAAGGCGGGTTGAAATTAAGTACTATGGGATCCGGGCACATATTTTTCCCTGGTCCTGCACATTGGCAGGTTCAGAAGAAGAGAGCCAGGAAAGGGAGTTGCAAGGGAACAATGCACCCCCACCCCGAAAAACTGTACAGCATGGATGCAGACTGGCCGTAGTTTGGAGGGAACGATCCAAAAGCAGCCCGGAGTGTCCTGCCACGAGTAATAAACTCCCGTTAGGGAATATGGCGATGCAACCCCTACCCCGTATCCCGACTTTCCCCCTTTGTTTAGGGCAACCTCTGTCTGGCTCTATCTGGCTTTTCTTGATGAAGAGACGACACGCAGCATGCAAAGGGGAGGATGTTATTGTGGAATGGGCTGCTGCTCCCCCACCAAAAAAAGAGAGATAAATGGGACAGAAGCAGTCCACTGGCTGTTCTTCTAAGTGCCTTGGACGTCAGCTGTCCCGCGGCAACAAAAAAATAAATAAAGCGTCAATTGTCAATTATTCTTTGGGATAAACTTCAAGAAAAAAACAAGAGAGAAAGAGAGAGAGTCACGCGTTGCCTGGGAGGATGAGGGTTCCCCCAAACCCTGCCAATCCACCCCGTCTTGGGGGTTCGTATATTTGGGAACCCTACTGCAAAGTTACCCGGACGCCGCCTCCGATTCTGCCCTGGCTCCCGTTATTGCCAGATGTGCCACTAGGAAAGAAAGGATTTCGGACTGTGTGGATGAGCACAGCAGCAAGGCTCAGCTGTAGAGAGAGAGGGAGGTGGGATTCACAGTGCCACTTCTGATGGAGAGCAGCTGATGGGCTTGGCAGCTGATGGCAGGATATATACACAGGAACAGGGAGCATGGCTGTTATACAAACGGAGAAAGGAGTTGTTGATCTGTCCCAGCCTCTAGTGAACCACAAAACGGCTTAGACTCCACGGCCGCAGCGCTTCCGGGACAGGGTCTCCGGTTCCGCTCCCCCGGTGTGCCGAAATGCTGGAGAAAGTTCCCAAGGTTTCGTTTTTCTCTCCAGGCTCCCGATCCGGACTGCTGAGCTCTTGGTTCGTTTTCTACGCTGGTTTCCCTCTCCCAAGGTAGTCTGATGGCGATGCCAGAGCCGCGGCCCCTTGCTTCTAGAGACAAGCGAAACAGACATCTCCGCCGCAGAAAAGGGCCGGGGAGATCTGGATGTGGTTGGGTGATTGTCCATGCTTTGATTCAAAGGGCGCCACATCCTCATCTTGGCTTCACAGTTGGGCCTGGCAGGCATCACTGCTGGCTGCGAGACGTCGTCCGCGGAGGGCCAGAGCTAATAATGGGGTGAGACAGGGGGGTGTCGAGCACAGCTCATGGAAGGGACGGGGATTAGGCAGGGACCTCGAGAGCCTCTTCTCAAGGCCTGGCCAGTCCCAGCATGCCTTGCTGCCCTGCCAAAAGAGACCAGAAGGAGAGATGGGGGAGGCAGCTGCTTGCTTAAGACGGCGGCTTGGGCAGGTCATCTTTGCTGGCCGGGCAGTAGTCTTGCGCCGTGACGAAGATGGGGGCCTTCCGCAATTCCCTCAGCTTGTGCTTCCTCGCCGTGTGCTGTAGGGGAAGGGCGGATGAGGAAGAGGAGGAAGTTAGTTTGGGAAAGATGGGAAATGCAGTACAGTCATACCTCGGGTTACAGCCGCTTCAGATTGCCTTTTTTTGGGTTGCGGATGCACCGAAACCTGGAAGTACCGGAACGAGTTACTTCCAGGTTTCAGCAGTTGTGCATGCACAGAAGCGCTAAATCGCACTTTGCGCATGTGCAGAAGCGCCGAATCGCAACCCGTGCATGCTCAGACGCGGTTTGCGAACGCTGCAGGTTGCGAACGTGCATCCCGCACGGATCATGTTCGCAACCGAAGCGTCCACTGTACTTGTCCCCCTAAAGGCATCCTGACCCTTTTAGGATAGGGAATGGGATTGGAAGATTGGGGGTTAATTGTGGAGAAGGGAGTGGAGGGGTGGAGACCACAAGGAATAGGGTAATAAAATCCCTGGGCTGTAGAACTGGAAGAGGCTCCAAGGGACATCTAGTCTGACCCCCCGCTATGCAGTGATCACAGCTAAAAATCCTTGGCAGGTGGCCGTCCAACCTCTGCTTAAAAACCAATGAGCTATTTGGAGTTATTTTGGGGGGTGGGGTGGGGGGCAGGAAACATGGAGGAAAAGGGTTAAGTTCGAGAACATGCCTTACGTGCGCATGGTCATCACAAGAGGGTGGCACAAAGGAAGGAGCTGGGTGTTTATGGGGTGCCCCTGAGGAGGGGCAGGGTTCTTTGGGGCAGGAAATGCCAGCCCCACCAAGGCAAGAAGTGGAAGGGAGGAAGCAGCCCTCCTTCCCCTTTGACGACTTGGAGCAATATAGGTCTTGCTCTGAGAGGGGCTGGGAAGACTTGCTCAAAGCCTGCTGACTTGCTCACTGCATTGGGAGCCAGGGTGAACCCCGAGACGCAAAAGAGGGTCTGACCTTGTGGGGAGAGGCATCCACGGAGGCTGGGCAGGGAGGGCTAGCAGCTCTGCGGGGGACACACAGAAAGGAAGAGAACATTAAGGCCACGTGCAAGGGGAGTCGAGGGAAACCACAGAACGGATCAGCTCGTGCAAGGGGGAAACCAACGGTGGCAGAGCCCCACGACCTCCTCCCAGCCTGCCCTAATCCTCGTGCCTTCTGACGCACTTTTCCATGGGTACAAGCGGCTGTATCAGTTCTTGCTTAAGAACATATGAACTGTCCTGCTGGATCAGGCCAACGGTCCATTTGGTCCGGCATCCTGTTGCCACAGTGGCCAAATACCCCTAGGAAGCTAGAAATCTAGACTGCCTCTGAACCCGGAGGTTCCATAAGGACATAAAAAAGCCCGGCTGCTGTGTCAGGCTAATAGTCCGACTAGTCCAGCATCCTGTTCCTACAGTGGTTGAACAGTTGCCCGTTATGCAATACCAGCAAGTGGGATTCAGGTGCAAGAGCAACACTCTCCCCTCCTGTGGTTTTCAGCAACCAGGATTCAGAAGCACTGCTGCCACCAACAGTGGAGGCAGAGCCATTGTGGCTGGTAGCCATCGATAGCTCTTGAATTTGTCTGACCCTGTTTTAAAGCTATTCAGGTTGGTGGCCAGCACTGCATGCAGTGGGAGGGAGTTTCGTAGTTTAACTTTGTGTTGGTTGGTTGATTGTATGTGTCAGCCACCGCTTTCATCTGCAAGATCAGCCCCTGTCCCACAGACACCAGAAGGGTGTCCTTTTCCTAATGCACCCACAGGAAAATAATCCACATCCCCACCTTATCCCACTGCCTCCTATTCGCCTCCTTCCATATCCCAGCTTCAGACACTCGCAGGCCTCTGCCCTGCAACTGGAAGATTGGGTTTGGGGAATACCCGGCCCTCTCACACACTCACCAGGTGGGGAGGTTGCCGCTCGGACTGTTCCAGCTGGATTTTTATTTCTGGACAAGAGGGGTCCGTAGATTTCCTGGGGTCTGGCTGCGGAGAGCGAGAAGGGCCTGGAAAGATGGAGAATGGGACAGGGGAGGAAATAACAACTTAAGTATAGCCTTTACCAGGAAGAGACTAAATGGGGACCCATCATGCTCTCACAGTGGCCAACTGGATTCCCCTACGGCAGTGATTTTTAACCAGTGTGCCATGTTGCTTGCCTTGAATGATGGTCAGGGATACCATGGGCAACACTGGCCTCTGTCCCTCTTTCCTTCCCCCCCTCCTAAGATGCCCTCTTGCATCTCTGCCTCCCAAAGGCTTTCACGGCTGCTTGTTGCAGCAGCCCCGGCTTCAAGCTCCGCAGGCAAACGGTCCATCTGGGGGTGGCCAGGGGTCGAAGCTATGATTCTTCAGCATCAACTTCGTTGGACTGGTCATGTTGTACGGATGCCTGATTATCGTCTTCCAAAGCAACTGCTCTATTCCGAACTTAAAAATGGAAAGCGTAATGCTGGTGGTCAACAAAAGAGGTTTAAAGATTCTCCCAAGAAGAATCTTTTAAAAATGTAGGATAAACACCGACAACTGGGAAACACTGGCCTGTGAGCGCTTCAATTGGAGAACAGCCTTTACCAAAGGTGTCATGGGCTTTGAAAACCAGTGGCGTAGCGTGGGGGGTGCAGGGGGGGCCGCACTGGGTGCAACATCTGGGGGGGGGGCGCACTCACACTCGCAGCTCTCTGCCCCTACTAAAATCTACGGGTTAGGGGGCGCAAATTACTTGCCTTGCCCCGGGTGCTGACAACCCACGCTACGCCACTGTTGAAAACGCTTGAACTCAGGATGAAAGGGAGAAACGTGCTAAGAGGAAGGCACACTTGGCAAACCCTCACCGTGATCAACTCCCACCTGGAAACCCATGTCCCCACTGTGGAAGGACGTGTGGATCCAGAACAGGCCTCCAAAGTCACTTACGCACTCACTGTTAAAACCGTGTTTAAGGAAGACAATCTTACTCGGCTACGAGGGATAGCCAAAGAGAGAGAAGAGCTGGCTGGCAGGAGCTGAGGTGGCTCAGAGACCTGGGGTGGCTGCGGCTGCTGCCTGGAGGACTCCCAAGGAGAGGGGAGAGGAGAGGAGGCCTAGGGAACACCCCACAAGGGAAGGTGTTTGAAAAAAGGGCAAGAGGCTGGCAGCTCGGGAGGCAAGGTGTGACCTAACTGGGCTCCTGAGCCCCACTGGGGTGCCACAGAAAGGATGTAGTTGGTCAAGGGAGCTGTGGACTAAAAAAGGTTGAAGACTTCTGCCCTACTGGAAGTCCGCACAGAGGACCCGAGTGCAAGAGCAACTCTCTCCTCCTGCGGTTTCCAGCTATGGGTATTCAGAAGCATCGCTGCCTTAAAGTGTTACAGCAGAACAAAACCAGCATGGTCAGTTGACATTGATCCTCCAGAATGAGATATGGTGACCAGATGTCCCCGTTTCCCGGGAACAGTCCCCGGATTTACAAATCTGTCCCCGGACAAAATCTGTCCCCGGATTTCATTTAATGTCCCCGGATTTATATTTTAAGTGTTGCAGATTTATTAGTAGGGAATGAATGCTGTGTGATTGGTTCAACGGCGTAAGACACATCATATGGGGACTTCCAGCGAGGCAAAATGGCGGGCGCCACAGCAGCGGGCAGCTCCTGAAGCCAGCCAGGGCCAACTGTGCTACCAGGCTGGCTCCGGGCTGCTGAGACTGCCGCTGGCAAGGAGGAACCGGGGACGCCTGGCGCATCAACTGGGGGAACCGCTGACCCCCTCCCGCAACCCAAATCGAGCTGGTAGCGAGAGTGCCTGGCCACCTGCCCAGCAGTGCTCCAGGGCCAGTAAAACCCCTGGAACTGATGCAGAGAGAAGGAGGAGAGGAGGAGAAGGAGAAGAAAGAGAGAAAGAGGAAGGAGGAAAAAGAGGGGAGGCCTGACATTGCCGCACTGCTGCCGCTGAGAAGGAGAGGCAGGAGAGCACCGGGAGGGCAAGGACACGTGGCTGAGTCCAGGCACAACCAGAGCCTACTCCATGGCAGCTAGAGCTTCAAGAGAACAGGCTGAGGCCCAGAGGAAGGCCATGAGACAGAGGAGACCACAGAAGAGAAGATAATACTTGTTTTTTAAAATGTGTTTTTTAAAAATATTTTTTCCCTCTTTTTTTTTTTTAAAAAAAAGTGTCCCTGGATTCTTTGAAAAAAATCTGGCAACCTTAGAATAAGAGGCAAAGAGGAGAGCAAGAGGCAGGCAAAGGATGCTTTGATTCGTGAGTAGAACATCTTCCCCCATCCCTGGGAAAGGAAGCGCAATGAGCTCCGTGCCTTAGGGGAGAGGAAGAACAGATGGGAAGAAGGGTGAGGCAAGCACAGCGGCATCAGGACCTGTTAACATCTGGTTGTAACGTATAACACACAGAGAGACCTGTAGGCTCCCTTTTCGTTATCGTTGATTAATTAAACCCGGATGGGAGCAGTGGAGAAATTTGGTCTGGTTTGCATTTTAAGAACGGGCCTACCTAATTCAACAATGCGTGAAAGGAAAACACAGCTATTCTCTGGGTTTTGCTCTTCTCCAAATTCAGCTCTCCCGCCAGACGATGTGTACAAGGAGCCAGTGTAATGAAGGACCTGGGAGACCAGGGTTCAAATTGCCCACACAGCCATGAAGCTCACTCAGTGGCCTTGGGGGCCAGCCACGGCCTCTCAGCCTAACCTACACCACAGGGTCGTTGTAGGGATTAAATAAAGAGCCCCTTTGCGGGGAGAGGAGGG